CAGGGAAGGAAGAGCTGGAAAATATTCTGGCACCTGATTTCTCAAAATGAAGGTCCCAATTCTTGCTAGAGTGTTTTATATGATTGTAAGTTCTCCTGATGTGTCTGTCTGTAACCAGCAGACCAAAATCCCTGGCCCCTGCATCTCCCCATGGCTCAGAGCAGAGAGCACATCCCCTCACCCTCAGGTGGGTCCCTGTCCCCACAGGACATTCTGCCACTTTGACATTATTCTGACACTTTGTTTCCCTTTTTAACTTGGCTCATTCCTTAGCAAACTTTAAGCCTATTTGATGTTAAATTACTCAAAATGCTCCAAGAAGGGGGAATTATAAGAGGAAGAAAGAGAGAGAGAGATACAGGAAGACAGAAAAGACATAGAAAAGCATACAGACCACATACACATTGAAAGAATGAAAGAATTTGAAACTAAAACATCCTGAATACCACTCAGGAGCATGCAATTCATCAGATAACTTTTACCTGCAGAGGTCAAACTACATCACAAAAAAAAGTAGTTACAAATAGAAATTCAGTCCAACAGCCCTTCACTTTTGACCTGGGATCTGTAGCGATACTTTTCTGGCTCAATTTTACTTCTGTTTAAAAACCGTAATACTACAAAAAACACACCCACAGGCAGTAGATCCAGGATTTCACAGGTTAAAAATAGACACTGAAGGTGTTTTGATTAAATTTTTTTGTTTAAACTTTTATTTAAGCAATCACTGGGACTGGGAAAAGGGGAACAACCTTCCAGCAGCACCATTTTCCTTTTGCACACTGAAAATGTTAGGGATTTCCCAATGTGGACTGTGTTACTATCTTGTGGAGACACTGAGAGCAGAAGGAATCTGTTAATGAAATGAAGAGCTCAGAGTTTCAAAGTGAAAAGGGTGAAAAATAAAAGATAAAAGAAGTAAAACTAATTTTGAGCCCATTCCCTAATTTGTAATGCTCTAGTTACTGTGAGCAGATATGGAAATACAAAGGCCCTGATTCTCTCCAGCCCTGCCCAGGATGCAGGAGGCCAGGGGAGCACACAGGGAAGTAGAACATGTGCCTTCTGATGAAAAGTCCAGATTTAGGGCACTCCAAGTGAATCAGACACAAGGAACTATCCCAGGTAACCACACCACCTCCATGTAACTGAAACATGGCATAGTTACTAATTAAACTTACACTTACAGCTGCCAGGACATGAGAAATCACAGCTGAAATGATGTAAGCAAGAGGCAGGACACTTTTGCTCAGCAACTTCCCACATGTGGAATCACACAAGTTCCAGAAACACATTTTAGGATAAGCAGACATATTTACCTCTTCCCAGGTCCTGTGGAGGACAGGGTGAGTGGACTTTTCCGGAGGGCTGCAGAGCTGTCTCCTTGTGTCACAGAACCCCTGGAAGGGCTCATCCACACACCAGCTTCTCCCCATGGAGCCCACAGCCAGATATTTTCCATGCCAGGGTTTAAAAAAGTTCTATCCATCTTGCTTAGTAGTGTCAGCCTTCTGCCAAAGTTTGTCAGCTATAGCCTGGAAGCATCCAACTTTTTTAGGTTGTAATCCAAACCCTCTGTTCCATCTGTAAAACCTTTAGGGAAAACACAATGTTTGCACTCAAAGTGCAAAGTTTCTTGTGGGTGGTTTTCTCCTGGATGCAGAAACTCTTAACAGTGTTTGAATTAGAACGTTTTTAACATGTTAATTTCATGATCTAGTGGTTTTATTGTTGCCACTGATACTGCTCCTGTTTCCCAGCCAGCTGTAAAGGGGTGGCATCCTGGGCTGAAGCAGGAGCAGCCTTGCCAGTGACAAACCAGCCCTCCCAGGCTCCTACAGAACCTGGCAGATCCATAACACAATCCCAGTCTGGGTCAATGACATGGAAGACCAGCACTGAAATTCAGCTCACCCAGGGAAGAATTTGCCCTTCTGTTGCTCTGAAAGCCTTTGTCCTTCTTGTTAACCCCTGACTGAGCTCCAAGTAAATTGTGTGATGTTCTCCTGCCTCCAGCAGAGTCCTTGCCTGTTATATCTGGGGAAAGCAGCTGCTGGAGACAGCTGGAAAGAGACTTTTATGGTTATTACAGTAGCTGCAAAGTCATCTGTGCTGTCGTAGCACTCGGCTATCTGTCTGTTTCTGTCAGCAACACAAGTTTTAATGCAGAAATGGGTCTGCAGGCAGCCAGAAGAACCCACAGCACCCCAGCCCAGCCACGTTTAAAGAGAGGGGCACCTGCAAGGGCCTGGCAAACCCCTGGAAGATGCAGGAGACATTGCTGGGAGCTCATGGTTTGGTCACTGTCAGGATGTGCCACAGATGTGACAAAATGGAATACTGAATTGCAAACCGAAAATACTGAGATCCTTTTAGTGTCATGAGATGTATTTCCAATGGCAGCATTTAAAGAGTTTGTGTCTCATAAGATGATGTTTCTAATTTCAGAGAAAAAAATGACTTCTCATCTGAGCCTTTCAGATGCACATCAGCCAGCAAGTAATTGAAGACAAAGTGTTTTTCTGTAATAAACCTTCATAATGAAGCACCAGAGGAAAATACTAAAGTTCAACTCAATACATCATGCTAATCTGCAGAATGGGATTTTCCTGCCACTAATCTTGTTAGAGCTGGGGCACTGTGCAAATATATCTATACACATAATTACTGAAGAGATATTAAACGGATCGATTTATTTCAATAAAAAATGCAAACTTTGAGAAGAATTCATTAATACTCAAAATCCAGCCAGGCAATAAATAACACTAATGAACTGAGAAAAAGGAATAGATGAACAAGTACTGACATGATGTCTTATGCTTATTGCTGTTAAAGAGGAGCTGACAATTACTCCATTTGAAATATAAATCCTGCAAAGGAAATGCTAGAAAGTGAGTGAAAGGCTTGTTAAAAATATGTATGTACATATATATACACACATTTTAAGAAGACATTAGGATGAAAACTAATTGAATTTTATCCTAAGGAGGCCATATTACCATTTTCATCACCCTTAAGCTGTGTTTACATTAGCAAACAGTGCTGTGCAACAGGAGCATGAAACAGCTGTTGCTGAGATGCTGCCAGCACAACATCTCTAAATGTGTTGGGGGTTTGCTGCCAGCCAGCTCCAGGGTGGTCCTGCAGCCTGAGTGCCTCACAGAGAGCAGGGTAGCCTGGCCACAGGATCTCCCTGGTCCATCCTGTCCCAAGGGAGCACCAGGGTGAACACTCTGAAGTGTGAATCAGATCACAGCGATTGTGATGGCAGCAAACAGCATTTTCCTCAAAAGCAGCGTCCTGACTGGCACTAAAACGTTTCCTGCAGCAGAAGCACCCAGGGCACTGTAAAGGGTTCACTCTAGGACAAAAAAACTCAGACAGAGCAGAGACCTCAGTCCACACAACCCAAATGACCCAGTGACAACCAGGGGTATCTAAAATAACCTTTTCAGTAAGGGCAGTGAGAGCTTGTCAAGACAGAACCCAAGAACGTGTTTTTCCTTGTGCTTGGGAGGTTCTGCAATTTGCCAAGAGGAAAAAAATCAAAGTATTTGGATTGCTGTTTTGGAATTATAACATGGGATTCAAACAGAACACTTAAAGAGTTATCCAGGCTGCTTCAGAGGACACTTGAAGTGATTTTCTACAGGCTTCTGAAACAGAAGAAAGACATTGAGGGCCTGAGGTGCATCCAGAGAAGGGAATAGAGCTGGGGAAGGGTCTGGGACACAAGTCTGATGTGGACCAGCTGATGGATGGGAGGTTTAACCAGAAGGCTCAGGAGAACATTATCACTCTGTATGGCTACCTTAAGAGAGAGTGTAGTGAAGTCAGAGATCATTCTCTTTTCACAGGAAACAAGACAGGAAGAGAGGAAATGGTCTCAAGTTATGCCAGGGGAGGCTTAGATTAGATATTATCAAGTATTTCCTCACTGCAAGGATGGTCAGGCATTGGAACAGGCTGCTCAGGGAGCTGATGGAATCTCCAGCCCTGGAAGAGTCCAACAGTTGGCACCTTCAAATTTTACTCAATCCCATGGTTCTTACAGCAAAGGAGGTGCTGCAGCCTCTCCTGGTGGAAGACCCCCAGTTTATTCACTCATTCCTTACCTGAAAGCTGCTCCTGTCCATTATTTGGGACAACAGACTCCAGAAGCTGGGGAGGAAGATAGCTCAAAGATAAGCCTGTTTTGTTAAATCACAGTCAAGTTATTAAAAATCCTCATTTCCTTTCAATAGTCTTAAGTGGGAAAATGCTGGCAAGGCACCCAGACCTCATCCAGATGAGCAGCTCAGGCTTTTACTGGTCGTAAAATGCATGATTTATGGCAGCATGTACAACATGATGTTATTTCCCTTGCAATTTATGCTCTCAGAGGGCAGAGAAGAGGTGGCTTTGCAGCAATTTACACATCCCTTGCTCCTTCCAACAGATGCCTCTCTGCACAAACACCACTTTCACAAAAATCTCTGCTTTGTTCTAACCCAAGTCTCTAAAGAGTTTCTGTAAGGGCAATTACTACTGGCAACACGCCACATGAAAGTTGTATTTTTGTCATTTCTTTAAGTTCATCCTGGAAAGATAAGAGGTTTTTTAGTTTTCATTCTGGTGAGGGATTCCCTTTAAGCTTTCCTTTAGATCAAGGCAAGGGGGAACCAGGAAATTTCAGGGCATTTTGTTGCCAGCAAGGAGTGGGATAAAGCAGCCTCTTCTGCACAGACTCCTCGGGACAGCAGCTCCAGGAAAGTGATGAATCTGCCACCAGATGTCACCCAGAGGCCACTGCTGTCGCTGCCGAGGCTCCAGCAAGCCTCTGGATTTCCTGCAGGCAGCAGGGATGCTCACAGCACTGTCATCACTCCTGCAGTTGCACCCACATTAAACCTCAGATTTCTACTTTGTGCCCTGAAAAAGAAAAGAAACTTTCAAACTGCAGTAAGTCTTCAAAATGCCTTGAAAAGTGAAGTACATTGCATGAGCTAAAGGCAAAATGCTATGGTTGTTGGTATCTTTATTGGAGGCCTGTATTTCTCCTTTTACAGAATTTTATCAGCTTGCAGAATTTACCCTTATCTAACTCTTAGGGAAAAAAAGAACAAGCTACTGAGACAGATAATGGATTGCAAAAAAACAGCAAGCAATGCAGAAAGAAGCAGAAGCACCTTGTGACAAGGGAACATAAAAGACTTCCTGTCATAATAAAGACAATTACAACAGGAAAAAAACAGCAGAATAAAAATTGGTAAAGTCTAAACAGATGAAGACATCTTTTACAAATTCCTAAATACACTTAAAAACTTCATTTCATGGGGAGCATCCAAAGAAAGCACAGAGGGAACACAACTTCTGAATGTTTAACATTCAGAAAGCTCCACACGCTTTGCCACAAATAAGAATTTTGTTTTTTGACAAATTATTTACCAGAGAGAGATCTAGAAAGCACAAATTTAGCATTGCAGCTTCAGTGGTAGACATAAGAAACTGTTATTTTTTTGTCATGCTAGGAAACAGAGGAAAATGGATTATAACAGTTTTGAATAAATTTTACTTAATTTTTTCAGTCTCCTGAATACAACTAAAATGTCCAGTGTTTTCAAGAGTAAATCAACAATTAATTACTTCAGCTCTGAACAGCAGCATCTAAAAAGAGGGATGAAATCACTCCTGTACATAATTTTGCTTTTTTTAAACTTGTCCAGCTCTGTTTAAAAAAGTCCAGAAACAATTTCAACTCCATTTAAACAAATCTTAATATTTCCCTTAAAGTCAAGGTTAAGCCAAAATTACCTTCTCACATTTACCACACAGTCAATGTTTTTCTGCTCTTAAAAAATTCTGCCTGTGTCAATGATTTCAAAATCGAATTTTTAACTCTCAGCAAGGATATTTATTTTAAACAAGAGAAAAATGAGAAGCCACAACTCAGGTGTTTATTGAGAAAGAACATCCCAACACAGTAGCTGAACTTCAGCTTTGAAAAGAAATTACTTTAAAGAGAAAGCAAGATTCAGACTGTTCATAAACATCAGTTCTGTGCATAACTGAACCTTCTTGTTCCCTGTCACTCAGCCACACTTTACCATGAAAAATCTGGCAACAGTTCTTTTGCTTCTGCTAAGTTATGGGGAATGTTTATGTTTTCAAAATTTTAAACAGTAAAGCCAGAAAATTAAAATAAAATCCCAAACAATCCAAAGAAGATTGATTTAAATAATGAAGTTTTCACCTCATTTCACCTCTAATTCTCTATAAATAAACAGAGTAAGAAAAAAATCAAGTTTTTCATTGGCAATAATTGTAACTGAATACTTTTCTTAGCATGACCTATCATTGTAACCACCCAGTGGTAACAAATGGACTTTCAGTACCTGTAATAAAGCAGCTCAGAGTAAACAAAATACTTATTTTGAAAAAACATACAAAAATCACAACTATTATATTAAGAACTCTGTTGTAATTATATACAAAATAACTATCAGAGCATTTGGTTCATACAGTGTTGCTGCAAGTTTTGAAATCAAGTTCTTGATCTCAGACAGTCAGTGCTTGAAATGGGCAACTATCTCAAGCTTGTCTGCTTGGAAATGCAGACAGAACGATTTGTGTGTACTCATGACAAAACTGGAACCATAAGGTAAAAGGACAGCAATTAATGCAAAGAAGTTAAAAAAAAAATCTTCAACAATGCCAAGTTCCCTGCACTGTCCCATTAAATCACATTCAGAACACTCACAGCAGCTGCCTCCATTCAGTGTTTTGAGTTTTCTATTGGTTTTCTTTGGACTCAGATGCCCATTTACACACTTACCCTTCCCAAATTTCAAAAGCCAGATGCAATGACTTCCTATTACAGCTCAGGTAAGAGTTTCAACTGGTGTCCTGAAGAGAATGTGCAGTTTGTGAATGCCTCATTACACACTGCTGCCATTCCACATTTAAATGTAATATGAATAACCAAACCCCACTCTAATGACAGTGCAACACCTGAAGGAATACCCATGAAACATTTGTTAGCCCTTGGAAAGTGCCCACAAGCATCACCTGGGCTAATTCCCTGTATCTCCGCTTGCCACTCAGCAAATCTTACTCAGAGAAGAGAAACTGCATGGCAGCAACAGCCCAGTCCCTCACCCAGCCGTGACAAATTGCTCAGAATTTCTGAGGTTCAAACACAGTCATTTCATCCCCATCATAGAACTCTCTCAGTTGGTTTAACTCATATTTTATGGAAGGTTCTTCAATTTGCATCCCAGGCTCCAGAGAGTTCTGTCCTACTATTTTAAGGTTCACCAGTTTTATTTTCCAGGTGTTATTCCTCACAGGGCAGCTGATGAGGCCAAAGATTTGCTCAAAGACACCCAAACAAGCATTGTCTCTGTGCACTGTGCCAGCCACTGCCACTAGCACCAATCCATGAGGGGACATAGCACATTTCAGGCCACTGGAATGCAAATTTGGGTTGAAGAGGAGACATTCTTCTTTAACCAAGGACAGCAGGCGCAGGCTCACCATCTCTGCACCCACATACTGTTCTATGTTTTTTTCCAAAGTGTTGTAACAGAACTTCAGTTTGGCATCCTCCCAAAAATGCTGTGGTCCCCATGTCTCCTCAGATTTTACTCCCAAAGGGTGTTGAGAGTTCAGGAGTTCAAAATACCACTGGCAGAATTCTCCTCCTAGACCACCAACGTCATCTTGTGGTGACTTCTGTCCATTTCCGTGACTCTGCAGTCAAGCAAATTTTTTTCTTAGAACTGTTTAGCAAGATTACCACTTAGAAAAACATCAAATTGTGCACATACTTATATTAAACCTCTTAAATGTTCTAAGCCAGAGGGCCTGAAGAGAAACACCAAAGTAAAATCTCACTTATTTTTACAAACATGATTATATAATGTAGAGAACAGGTTTATATTCAGGTTCCTTGAACAATATCTAGAAAGTGCTTCAGTGTCTTGGGCTCTTTACAAAGAGGAAAATCCTGATTCTACTGAAAAAGGGCAGGGGAAGGATGTAAAGTGACATTTTTTGGAACTAAATGTACAGTTACTTTGTAGGACTTCTCAGTATTTATGACTTGACAGTAAGACATTTCTAGAAGTAGATCAAATGTCAAGTTTGTTAATACCAATGTCTAATAAGTATTAAATTGTGTTATAAGCATTAAGTAATTAAGCATGAAAATATTGAAGAATTCTGTATAAAAATGTGGTATTTGTTTCACCACAAATTGAAATTAATTTCCAATTCTGTTACATAGGTTCAGGTTTCCCATTTCTTCAAAGTGGTGAAGAAAGAAGAGACAAGAATTAAGAGAAAACAAATGCAAAGAAAGATGTATGTGATAAATAAATCCACCGACTTTCTTTTAAATTTATGGATGTGTTTTAAGTACTTCATTTATGTACCATCAACCACAGAACTTTGCTAAGAGAAACCTTTGTTTTTTCCCTCGAATTAAGGACACAGAAGATTATTTTGAAAACAATTCTCAGCTAAATGCTGTCATCAGCTAATCCCTGAGTGAAAGCTCAGTGCAATAGGTTCTCAACAGGGACAGAGCTCTCACAGCCCAGGAGGTGGGGCTGCTGCCCATGAGGGCTCTGAACTACAGCAAGGTGAACCACAATTAGAACCACAAATAAACCCCTTAAAGTTCATTACACAACGAGGATTTGCTAAATGGCAAAGAGTTGAACTTCAAAATAACCTATTATTGCCAAAACACATTTCCTTACGCTGTATTAAGTGTTACAAACCCCAAGGGAAAACAAATGGCACTGACCTGTCACTGCTGGAAACTGCACATTTTATCAATATATAAACTCACTAAAATCACAAGGGCCTCTGCAGGATTTCTGCACCATTCATTCTATTTTCAGCTGTCCCTGAACCCACAAAACTATTTGTGAGTATCTTCTATTTTAGCTTATAGGACAATTTAAAAATTCAAAGCATGGAGAAGACCCCACAGTTTTTCCGTGGAAAACAGAGCAGACACCTCCAGATGCAATTTAAAAACCAAACAAACAAACCCAACTAAAACCAAACCAACCAAGAGCTGAAAAGATCTGGGAACTTCCTACAGGTGCAGAGCCACATTTGCACTGGTCATCCTGTGGATGCAATGTGATGCTGAGCACCCTGAGGATTTCCAGCAGCAGCACTCACCTGTGCAGCAGGTTTCCTGTGCCCTGGCTCTGAGGCTCGTGCCATCAGCTGCCCGCTCCAGAGCTGCCTCACACGCTCGATGAGGAGGTGTTTCTCTGAAGAAGGAGGCACTGCAATTCCCTGCGACGCCAAATACTTAAAGATGATTTCTCTGTAGACTTTCCTGCGCCTCAGAAGTTCTTCCACGTTTTGGCTGTACACCAGAATAGCATGAATGGCCTCTTCAAAGAAAGAAATTGAAGTCAGAGTTACCTTCTTTCACAATAAAACCCCAAACTTAACCTATCTCTTAAACTCCTGACCTCCAAACACAGTACAAGACAAGGTGACAGGACAGGAAGAGACTGAAACCTAAATCTTTTTGTCTCTAAACCTAAATCTGGCCTCATCATATCAGACACAGAATACACCCCAAAGACTTGCAAATATGCTTCTCGGACAAGAATTCTAGGGAAGTGTTTCAGCAATGCACAGCAGTTTGTGAAAGTGAGGTTCCACCTCCTTCCTGAAGCCTGCTGGAAATGGAATTAAATCTGTTTTATTTCCACACTAATGTGATGACAACTCCCGTGTTCACAAGAAAATGCCTCCTAGCACAACAGTGCACTGAACGGCAACAATAAACAAAATTCAGCTACAAGTCTCTGTGGCAGAATGAGGAAACATGGCAAATTTGAATTCACTTTTAAAGCAGTCACAGCAGAAAGTTCCCCCTGAACTGAGACTAGTACTTAACACAGGACCTATAAAACCCCCAAATCTATCCAGAAAGAAAAAGCTAAAGGAAAACACAAAAATCTTTCAATGCAATCTACAACCACCGCAAAAAGTAGGAAAAAAAGGTAGGGAACAAACACCTACAGGCAAAAAAACTTTTAAAGAAATGTGTTGGGCAAATTTTACAGGTTTTAGTTACATCACATGAAACATACTCAAGGCTTTAGGCTTTAGGATGATTATATATCAGGGCAACAAACTCAGTGGCCTCAGGTAACTCACATAAAAAATTAACTATTACAAAACAAATCTCAACAAAGTGAAGGTGGATGATCACAACTGGAAGAGTCCTGCAAAAAAAAAACTAAGTTCAATGCAGATTCGTATTTCACCCTTTCAAAACCTGAAAGCAAAAGTGACTGATGCCAACAGCAAGAGAGTCTCGAGCTTTCAATACTTTTAACCACTACCGGCACAGCCGTGCTCGCAGCTCACTGCAGGGCTCCGAGAGGAAAAAGATGCTTGTGGAGCTGAAGATCTGCTACGAGCCCGTCGCCACCTCAACTTCCTCGGCCTAAACAACCTCAAGCTCCGAGCAGCCAAGCCCCGGAGGAGCTGCTGGCTGCGCAGGAGAACGCTCCCGAGCTCGGCCGAGCCCTGCGAGCCCCGGCCCGCCCGGGCAGCCCCGCCCGCCGCGGCCGCCGAAGCGAAC